GTGTGTGTCCGGGTGCGTGCGTGCGTGTATATGCGTATTTAAAACATGACCCCCCCCCCTTTCCCCACATGTGCATGATCAGCTTTTTGAACTTCCATTTCCAATACGGATATGCTACAGAAGATTTCTCTAATTAATGCTTGCTGCATTATACTTCTTATTGTCAATATGGGCGTCATGGTGATTATTTCTATTCTATGAGTGTCTATTTGATTTGTGTCATTTTGGAGTCAAAAGTGTATCTGTTTTGTGATAGTGCGCATGTTCCCAACATAGATACTGTATGAGAGAGAGTGGGAGAGAGAGAGAGAGAGAGAGAGAGAGAGAGAGAGAGAGAGAGAGAGAGAAAACTAGAAAGCAAGATTGAAAAAGAGGAAGAGAGATAAAGAGAGAAAAAGATATAAAGAAGGGAGATTATGTATGTGAAAGCGTTGGAACATATGTATATATCATAAAGATTATACATCATAGTATTATCCATTCTATTCTTTGTCTAGTGAAAAGTGGATATGTTCCTGGGGGAACATCTAGCACAATGCCACGTGACGGAAGGCGAGGTTAGGGTAAAAATATTATCAAGACAACAACTTTATTATAGAGTGGCGTCCAAAAGACATTTGAAAATTTAATCACCCAATCATCGTGTCAAAGCCTTGCACTACCCACTCATACAGCATACCAATTTAAAGCTAAATAAATTCTGTATCATCTGACACAATGATATTTCGTCTATGTTAAAAAAAACACCCGAGATATGGTCACTCAAGACTGACATTTAAAAACCAGGCTTTGCAAAATTGCGCGAAATCAAAGCACATTAAAGTTTTCTTCACGCGTGTATTGAGAAGAATCAATATTGATAGAAAGGTCATATAATGCATAGCCAAAGAATGGAGACATTTTGTCTCTGTGATAAACAATATTTATTGCGATAGCTTCAAACAAAGCGGAAAACAGAGTAATCTCAAATATCACGCACAAAATGGAAAACATTAAATATGCTCATTGTTATTTTGTGTAGGGTAAGAACCCTTTGGGCATGAGTTCTATTTAATGTTGGATATAATATGTATTTGTCATTTTATTCCAAATGGCTAAGACAGTTGCAAACTAAGGGTCTGAATTGGGAGCAAAGCCCATTTTCCTAAGCTGCAGTTTCATGTGACTTCTCATACATGTAGCATTTTTCCAGGCTATTTACTGGTGACCACTCATACGTTGATGTGATTTGGTTTTCCACGGATTGTCTAGTCGCATTTGCCTTATGAGAAAGTGCTTTGCTATACATGGAGATGTATTCTTTTGAATGACATCATGTGGAAAATAAATGCGCCTCTCGTTGTAGATGAAAACTTAATGATGCAGAGTTTATTCAGCTTTAAATTGGCATGCTGCATGAGTGTGTAGTGCAAGGCTTTAACACGATGATTGGGGGATTACATTTTCAAGTTTCTTTTGGACGCCATTTTTACGTATGAGATGATATGTGTTACATCTAATCCTAGATTCTACTCGTCAGTCTGTCTACGCTGTGTTCAATACTCAGTTTCTAGCGGGGAACGATGTGTGTGGGCCTCACAGGTCCGGAGCTCCTTCCAGTGCGTCGACCCACGAGTAGCGTCGATCCCTGCTCAGCCTAGGTTTAAGTTGTGGCTCGGAAGGCCGGTTCAACTTTCGCGTCTGTTTATATCCCCCCCCCACGTGCACCCTTTTTCTCCTACACTCACTTGCCTACACGGGGTTTGTTGAGTCATTTCACGTGCTTGTGGCTTGCCAGGTAATCGCAACGAAGTAGACAACATATAACTTGTTTTTCCTTGTAGGATTCTGATGTGAGCAACATTACCCTGGATTTATCCAGGCCATTATGGCAGGAGCAAAACCAAAACAGACAACAGCAACAACAACAACAGCAACAACAACAACAACAACAACAACAATAATAACAACAACAGCAATAACGCTGTTACAGTACAAAAATAGATACGAATATAATACCATCTCTAACAAATTCTAATGAAAATTTTAGTGTCCCCAAGTATAGTCTTCTGTCTGCTATCTCTACTTTTCTCTCTTTCTCTCTCTCTCTCTCTCTCTCTCTCTCTCTCTCTCTCTCTCTCTCTCTCTCTCTCTCTTTTTTTTTTTACATTCCATTGATGTTTGTATAATATTCTTATTTGCAAAGATCAGCTAACTGTCGTCTATAGTGTAACGCTTAGGTGCTCGCTGTCTCACACAGGCGACCCGAGTTCGAGTGTGGAGAAATTTGTATCAAGTATCTCACTCTTCCTGCTGGTATTTTGTATCCCTCTCATCCGATGCTGGCCTTGACAGCCATGATCGAAGCCTGCCTCCTGAACAATGTTAGCTATTTTATGTCGCTTTTAAGTACAGAGGGGGGGGACTATCGCCAAAAAAATGGCATTTTGAGAAAATCGAAGGTAAAGTTTTTGGACCATTGTTCGGTTCCTTTAAAAGACAAGGAGAGTTTTCTCTTTGATAGTCTTTATCCAAACAAATATACACCAATGAAACAAAACTTCTCCAATAGGTATGGCAATGCCCACCTTTGGAAAAGGTCAAGATTTCTGGAAACCCCGAATTCTGGGATAGCTCGCTTGACCTTAAAACTTAAAAGCGTCCATATCGATTTAGAGGAATTAAACCGCATCTTAAATTTCAACGACATACATGTAATCTTGTATTTATTTAGTATTAGTAATCCTGTATTTAGTAATGTAACTTGATAAAAGCAAACTTGAATATGAACTCGAAACAGGAAGGCAGAAATCTGGTATTTGATCATACATATTATAATACACAAAAGATCAATGAATTTTTGATAAATATATAATAAGAACTATATCTAAGCAAAAGGTTAGGGTATTTACATGTTACAGAATACATGCCTTCATTAAGAATTGAAACTTTCAAACGTCTCATTTGGTTATCACGTAGAATATTACAACACCATTATAATGGTACATATGGGCAAAGATATCAAATACAAACGTTACATATATGATAATGAAAATGACATAAACCAATATGGAAGTGTTTCTACAAAGGGGAACAACTTAATAGCCTGTTAAGGGAATGAAATATGAGCTGGTCTAATTATTTCCCTTACCTAACAGTTTCCTATTTATTATTATTTTGTACTAAGTACTTTTGGGCCATGGTCGTTTCCAGTGGTACAATTCTTTACAGACATCATGCTCAAGTACCAGATTTGCAAAAGGCATTGGCGATCAAAGTTCTACTTTCATTCCATTTCTTGGATGCTCTCAAAAACGTTAAGTTATCCCAATTCTTCCCCGTCACCTGTCTGTTTAAGATTTCCAAGTTGGTTTCTCTGGGTCTACCCCTGCCTCGTTTGTCTTCAGTTTCGCCAGTGAGAGCAAGATGAATATAATATGCCTATTCAAGACATATTTGAAGACAACGTGGGTTTTGGTAAGTGTTGTTGGCGCTCGATCCTGCATTAGGTCATATGAGCGCGTGGGACACAATCAACATTTTTCTGTTAGGTTGGAATTAAATTTGAATTTTGACCGAAGACTAAAAGTCAAATTTAATACATTTTTTTACTCGATTCCTAGTTGGTCACACGATTTTTGAAACAAAAAATGGTGCCCCCCCCCCCCCCCCAAAGGAAAACCTCTTAACCTCTTATCTTTCTGCTTTCGAAATCCATTTTTATCGTGAAGTGTGTCGTCAAAGTCTAGTTTAAAAAAATAGATAGCGAGAAAATGGTCTTTTTCCCTCACTCTAACTCCTTACAAAAAGTGTAAATAAATCAATTGAAATGGTGATAATGACAACGTTAAGAAGACGCTATCGTCACTTTTGCTCAGAGTTGCTCACGTGAAGAGGTCATAGAGGTGAAATGTTGATCCTTTATCATTTTTTTAAAAAGCTAGATCTAGACCTTTTCGAGGTTTTAAATTTATATTTACTAACTGAAACGTAACAATGAATCTCTCTCTCTCTCTCTCTCTCTCTCTCTCTCTCTCTCTCTCTCTCTCTCTCTCTCTCTACCTATTCTACTTTTCCAACAATGATAAGAAGAAGCCGATGTTTGTCCTATCAGGTCCTTTCACGTAAAATAATCATCATATCAATCTATAGGTGCTGCCTCATTTCTTGTCGACGAGTTATTATGTTGTTTTAACTTTAAACATTTTAAATGATTTCTAAAGACACTATTTACAGTGTTTATAATATAAACAAGATTATACATACATGGGTTTATGGCTGAATTAATGGGCACAATGAGAATCGCCGACCATACGTAGAACTGGTATCCCAGCTGATGTCCTGCCATGGAGATCAGTCCCATAATTCCTACAGGAAACCAGCAGGCAAAGTCTGTGGCAGCCACGAGGAAAAGTCTCCTGGATATCTCCACGTCCTGAGCTCGTCTCATGGCGGAGCTGCTCGTTTGGTTGGCCACGCTCTTCCTCACCTCGGCTAACGCCCTGTAGATAACCAGCTGGCCGACGGCGATGAGCAGGAAGAGAAACAGGTTGAGAAAGACAAAGACAGCCAGAGAGAACTGGAAGCCTGGGACAGAACTGTCGCCAAGAGGCAAACCGAGACAGACACCGTCGAAATTATACGCGTGCCAGTGTTGGAATGGTGGCAAAAAGGGCAACATGGCAATAGACAGACCGAGCAGCCAGGCCAAAGCACTGAGCACATGAATATATCTGCCAGATATTCGGTATTGGCCCAAAGGAAATTTGATAACCAGGAATCTGTCCAAAGTAATGAGTAAAATAAAGAACATTGAAATTTCACTAGACGCAGTGGACAGAAATCCTGCAAGTTTACAAACGGGGCCGTGTTTCCAACCAGCTCCGTGAAAAAAGTAAACATTTCTGTAGTAAACGTCAGCTGAGGCAATGAGCAAAAGGTAAACGCCCATTAGAAAATCAGCTATATGCAGGTGAGCTACAAAATACCAGTACGCCATTCTCACTGGTGGCCTGTGATGAAGAAGGCGGGTAATAAAGACAACGAGGTTCCCCAGGAATGCAGTGACACCGATGGCCCACAACAAGACGCGCATGTATAAACCGCCAATCAAGTCTGAGCAAGTCGAGAAGGGATCCACCGGCGCTTGGCAATTTATTGGAGATCGATGGAGTTGTGGACAGCACAGTTTGTACGTGTCTGCCAGGAGGGTCATGATGGTGACTCCAGAAAAACTTTCGAAAGAGAAAGCAATGTTAGGGATTAATCTAAGGTCTAGGGTGCCAATAAACATGCCATTTGGAAATAACCATTGACGAAGATTAGACACGTTAGTGCCTCTTAGGTTTAAAATACTTAAGTGAAGGAGAGGAGCTATCTCCACAGTATGAACACTTGTAAATGACAAATCTATTTCCTTCAATACTTTCAAATAACGAGGGATCCTAGCTACAGTTAAATACGGATTGTGAGATAAGTTTAGGAATTGGATTTCTCTAAGGGATGCCATAAATTCGTTCATGTGTTCATTTTCGAGTGTGTTGTGACTTAAGTCTAAAGTAAATACATTTCCCAGATTGGGTTCAAAGCAATTCTTAAAAGCCGGGTCCGCTATGTTGCAAGAAGAAATGTTCAAGTGAACTAGTCGCCGGGACAAGCTACACGAAAGAGTGCTCACCGCTGCCGACGCATCAATACCACTGATATCCAAATATCTGCTCCTATTATCGACAAAGCTCAGATCTGTCAACGGCACGCTCATGTTGTAGTCTGACTTCACCACTGTGCTAGCTACACACAGAAATCCCTCGCGACACCTGACGTCACAATTCAGTTCATCCCATCCATGCGGACAGTCCTTCTTATTGTCACAGACTCGGTCAGGATGCAAGCACACTTCTGACGAAGGGCACTTGAATAAGCCAGTGCAATTGAGCTCCAGTAAGGTTTCGTCTTCTCCCAATGGACAATTCTCCTCTCTGTCAGAAATATAATCTACAGGTATGCAGTAAGAATTAGGGCATTTGACATAACCCTCAGGACAGGTAAAATGTTCACAGCCCTGAAGATGTTGGAAATTCTGGCAGCCTAGAATCCCACCTGTGGGATCTTTGATATACACACACCTGGGTCCCCAATTGGTGAAACCCGACGTGTCATTTTCTCCATAGCATGTGCTGGACTCTAGAGCCCCCACAGTTTCGTCAAGAGGACCCTCTGGTCCTGTGCACTGAATGACCCCGTCTCCCAACATGGCTCGGGTCACGCAGTCTGTCGTGTTGCACAGGAACACACAGTCAGTGACGCCGTTGCTCATGGCAATAGCAAGTTCCAAAGACGTATCTTTTTCACACGTTATGCAGTTCTGCTGACCGTCCAGAAACCAGTGTTTAGGCAAACACTTACCGTTAGGACAAGGTAATTTGCTGCATGAAGCCATTCCCTGCATCTCTTTATTATGGTTACAATTGGCATCGAATGTTGTTTCCACATTGTTATCATAGTGATGACTGGTGCAGCGACTTTCGTCATCTCCATACTCACAATCATTAATGTTATCACATACTTTGTCATACGAGATACAACGATTTATTCTGGGGCACTGAAAACATTTAACTTCTCCTAGGGATATTGTCTTCCAAATTCGTCCTTGTAAGTAGAAAGAAAACGATACGGCAAAGTCTGTTGAAGCGTATTCATTTACAATATCACTGACAGAGCGTAAGTCACCCCTCTTCCAATGATTCCTCTCTGAAAAGTCAAACGCCATTTCCCCTCTCCTCAACGCTTCTTCTCTGTTCCTTTCACTGACTGTGCATGTCACATCCACGTTTAGCGGTTCTACTACATTGGCTTTAGCTTCACAGACGGCCATGCCGTGAATCTGTGCACTACAGCCCACGCCCTGCCAGCGAAGAGTTGAATTAGGGCCGTCTTGTCGATACGTTACACAGAAATCTTCTAATCCTTCTTGCAAACTCTCTCCAGCCCAGAGATGAGAGTAGAACAAAGGAAATCTGCTAAGCCAACTAAATCCTCTACGATCATGAATATGGTCGCTGAATAGACCAATGAAAAAACGTTTGCTTTCGTTACAGGCATTTCCTTTCTCCCCGAGAGAACAGATATGTTCAAATAATTTTGATTCCAAGAATTTTTTTTCCTCGGTAGTTTCGATGCTCACCAAATATGATTTTTGTTCCAAACAAAGTTTCTTAGCATTATTCCAGCCGGAATTTCTCTCTGGGAGAATCTTGTAACAAGAGAATGCTGTGCTTGATATTTTTTGCTTGATGGATTTATCAAAGAACCAACCAGGGTAACATTTTTGACATACAATGATCGGAATAGCTTGATCCAAATGAAGATATTGGAGATTTTGGAATGTAACCCTACCTCTAGTTTGACGCTGAAAGGTTTTGGTAGCTGGTAAGGGCATAACATACCTGTTTTGTTTTGTTGTCCAGAGGAAAACTGTCAGAATACTAACGCTGGTAGCTGCATCAAAATCGACAATACTGGAGCTCCTACGAAAAGGGAACTGAAAATCGTCTAACATTAAGATAACAACAACAGTTTTCCTACTAAGAGAAGATGTCCTATTTAGGTGATTCAGACACGCGATATGAATTTCGTCAATACTGCTCATATGGCAGTTGCGTTCGGTTGAGTTACTGTTACTGTAAAGCAGAAAAGCCTGCCGAAGAGCAGTTACGTTCGAAAACTCTCCAAAGTCAAATTGCACGTTCAGACTTGTTTTGGCACTTGTACTGCAAAACTGAGCTAAGGATACGTTCACGCGTGTGAAGTCGTCGACTTTACCGGTATTGAAAATATCGAGAAATTTACTGAAAAATTCCATTTGTTTTCCAGAAGGATCTCTAAATTTTGTAGAGTCCTCAACAACCAGTAAAAGGTCCAGTGGAGAGGAGGAGCAATCATCAACGAAAGGAAAATCCGAGTTTCTCCCCTGAGACTCCGATCGGGAAGACCCATAGCTGGAGTGACAGCTGGAACCTGGAGCAAAAGAACAGACAGTGGAACATTTAAGAACAGGTCATGTCTCTTGGAAACAAAACAGCAACTCTTTGTGGACAACGGGTATTAATGTATTATGTGTCACGCAAATCAAGCGCTCGTCAGTTTTATGGTTCTTAGTGATATTGGAGGCATTTTAAAGTTTCTTCATTTGTGGTGCTTTTCATGAAAAGATATACCCATTATCTTTAAAAGAAATTGTAATATTGGCGATTAAAGGATGCACGGGTCGCCTTCTGTCAGAGGTAAAATTAGCTAGAAAATGGCATCCAACGCTTGATGACTTCCAAACTGTGAGTGTCATTGAAAACAGCAAACTCATACTTTTTGTGCCTTTCATCAATGAGCACCTCATTGCACCACGTCGAGACACGAGTGATAACAGCACAAATAGTAATACATTAATAATAATAATAATAATAATAATAATAATAATAATAATAATAATAATAATAATAATAATAATAATAATAATAATAATAATAATAATAATAATAACTACAATTATTATTATTATTATTATTATTATCATTATTATTATTATTATTATTATTATTATTATTATTATTATTATTATTATAATGTATGGCTCTTTTCGTCTATGCAGACAGTCAATTTAGCTAGAATGGTCTCAAGGTTGTCTTTATGCAGCTTCTTTCATGGCTAATTCTTCCTATGTTTGAAGATCAGATACTGTTGTGGTGTTCGCATGTCAGTCATGTGGATTGAAGCTCTGTATTTTCGCTATTTTCCTTTCGTCGTTTGCGCTTCTCAGCCTGGTTGTTTCTAAATCTAAGGCTGCTCTCTAGCATTATAATTCTTTCCTTTATCGTTTTCCTACTTCTTTCCTGTTCTCAGCTATTTCTTCTTATATGGTGACATCTACTCTTAGATAAGCTATTTTTGCAGGTGTCTTTGTACCTCAATTTTGGTCTTCCTCTAGGTCTCTTTCCCTGGGAAAGCCCCCCCCCCCCCCTTTAGAGAAGTTGCTTCGGAATCCGGTTGTCGTCCATTCTCTTGGCATTGCCCAGCCATCTCAATCTTTTTAAACACAGAATAGTTGTCATACTCTGGAGGTTTGCCTGTGCAAACACTTCAACATTTGTAACCTTGTCACACAACAAAATGCCTAAGATCTTGCGGCAGCATCTGAGATGGAAAATGTCGAGGCGCTTTTCCTGTCTGCTGTACAAGGTCCATGTTTCAGATCCACAAAGGACTGTGCTGAGGACATATGCTTCGTAAATCCTGATCTTTGTTTTGATGGTTTATCTTGTGTTTCCCAAGTTCGTTTTGTCAGCCTTCCAAAATTTGTTGCTGCTTTCCCTAACCTGATGTTGATCTCATAATCAAGTGATGTTGTAGAGCTGATGGTAGGCCCCAGGTAACATAACTAGTCCACTGTCTCAAGTTCCTTGTCGTTCAGCCATATATGGCTCTGCTCTGCACCTTCTTGGGTAAGGACGACTGTTTTCTTCACAATGATGACCAAGCTAAAGACCTTGCGTGCTGTTGACAGACGGTCCATCATTGTTTGTAGGGTTGATTCACTGTGAGCAACAAGAGCATCATCGGCGAAGAAAAGGTTTCGTACTGCTGTTTTGTTCATCTTGGTCTTGGCCTTGAGTCGAGCAAGATTGAAAAGCGACCCATCAGTTCTCCAGTGGCGGAAGACATCCCCTGATGACTTTTTGAATTTGTGTTGCAGTAAGACAGCTAAATAAATGCTAAAAAGGGTTAGTGCTAAGACACAACCTCGCTTTACTCCGCTATTGATGTTGAAACTGTTTGATGTTGAACCGTCAAACTGAATGGTGGCCTTCATATCTTCGTGGAATGAGATGGTGAGCTGTTACAGTATTGGGGGACAGCCAATTTTTCCAAGCACCATGTACATTCCTGGTCTACTGACTGTATCAAAAGCCTTTGTCAGAATCGACGAACGCAGCATGTAATGGCAGTTGTTGCTCCCTGCATTTTTCTTGTAGCTGACGTATAGAAAAGATCATGTCCATTGTTGAGAGGTTTCATCTGAAACCGCATACGCTCTCTGGAAGGACTCTTTCTGCTAGTTTCTGAAGTAGCTTCAGTATGATCCTAGCAAAAGGTTTTCAAGTGATGCTTAGCAGTGAGATACCTCTGTAGTTGTTGCAATCTCCTTTGTCCCCTTTTTTGTAGAGTATGGTAATTTTGGCATCTCTCA